CTATCTTTCCCCCGCCCCCCCCCCCCCCAGAAGCTGGACTGCCAGTCCTGCATTGTACGTGATAATGCCAGAGAACTGGACAGGAAGCAAAATGGAGAGGCTTGAGGGAACCAGTCACACAGACGGAAGAAGAGAGAGCCAAACATGTATTCAACCCATACAGTGCAGGTGGGATCCCACTGCATTGGTAAAGTTTAACAGTATGGAGTTGGGCTAACTGAACATATTAAAAGTCGATACATAGCTGTGATATTAAATGTTGCTTTGTGTTTTAATTAGCTCCAGTACTTAAGTAATGTGTAGTGAAATACTTCTCAGATTTTATACTACAAACCCTATTAAAAGTATAGCGGTGATATAGCTTAGAAACAACACAGAACGCCTATCAAGTAAAGGAAGGGAATAAAGATACATCAGTAGAAATCTAGAGTAATGCCATAGGTTTATTAAGAGGTGGTAGAGTGAGTGTTTAGTTTTAGGTGAGAGAGTTTTTTTTCTATAAGCATATACTGAATGCTATGAGGTTTTTTCATTGATTGTAAGGCCTGTAAATTGCCATAGAATGCATTCAGGTTAGGAGAACAAGTAACCAGAAAAGCATAAGGTTTGAAAGATTATTGCTAAACTGTCCATTGGAAAAATACATGATATGGAGGATAGGGCATGATGTTGCCTTGTTCCACATCCATTTGGAAAACCTTAGAAAGAAGTCTTGAAATAAATGTAAAAGTAGAAGAGGAAGTATCCAAATTGAAAAACGATTGTTGAATCCCTTTTTATCCAAGATGTAGTACTTATATTTACATGTGCCAGAAGGAAATGACAAGTTCACTAATCATATAACTTCCTCAACACTCAGCTCCCATCCTCAGCCATCTAAACTATCCTAAGCTAAAAAAATCAACCCTATGCAGGTGTTTACTTACTTACTCAAGCAATGATGCCCCCCCCCCACCCCCCACCATATTGTCTGCATGCTGCCCAATAAAAGTCTAGTGCAGGACTGCCTGTGCCTGTGCACTAACCAATCGGGGTATAGGCAAAGTGGGCGGCTACCTTTTAAAATTTGTTCTAGTCAACTGAATTAAGTGAAAAATTTGGCACACCTGGCAAAGGGGAACAAAAGCACCATGAATTCTCTATTAATAGGCAAACTAAGGAATGTGTTAATTATAGTTACATGGATGTGCCAATAATTTTGTATTAATATTTTGTAAGAAGATAGAACTATAGTTAGAAATAAGAAGAGATTGCTTGCTTCAGCACCATTGTAATTCTGAACCTAAATACAAAGTGTTAAAGAGATGCACTAAATTTGGACTCATTTTATCTGATAATGTTTTATAATACTGGGTTGAGAAGCCCTCTAAGCCAAAGTATTTAGATATTTTTAGAGATTTTATCGCTTAGGTCACCTCGGATAGTATAATATCTGCCTTCACAAAAAAAAGCTAATGATTCAGGAAGGTTAGAAAAAGCAAGACTGCTGCTTCTTCGCATCAATCTGTCAAAATGATTTGAAGGTAGTGATCATTTTAATGGGGTATGCAGTAATCTCACCATTATGAAGACAAATCCTACAAGGTGATGGGCAGAAAGGAATGCCATAATATTTTTGCCACCATTGTATGAGTTTTAGTGCTTTGAGTTTAGAAACTCTTTCTGGTCCAGCATAGTAATTTTTCCATTTTATTGTTCAGTAACAAACATTTTTGTTTAAAGAATCCAGCTTCCTTTTAAGTACAGAAAATAGGATGGGTTTTCCCAGTGGCATAGCTTGACATATATAGGCCCCAGTGCAAAACAGAACCTTGACACAGCTTTAATTCTATGCCAACTTCTTCAAGCTTAACATTCAAAACCTCTATAATTCCCCCTGCAATTAACATGCCCACTGAATTACCTTGTGTACCAAGGTCCTCTACTGTGTTGACAGTTGTACTGGCAGCTCCTCACCTTCTAAACCTTCTTATAGGCCAATACAATAGGCCACCCAACATAGTGATGGACCAAAAGGCGGGATATGCCAGATCTCCAAAACTTAGACAAAACATTTACATGCCAGTGAATGTAGACACAACCCACTAGTGACAAATGGACAAACTAACACAAGCCTGTATTGTAAATTGCAATGATTTGGGCAGACCACAATAGCTTGGTTTGTAGCCTACTCTAGTTTGCTGGTGTGTTATACAGTTTACTAGTTATATTATTTTGGTTTATACAATGGTTGCTAAATAAGCACATTGTGCAGTAATAACACCCATCCCTTATTTTGAATCTTTATTAGAAAACACTAAGAGGGGAATTTATCAAAACTGGAGCAGACAGAATCTGGAGCAGTTGTCCATGGCAGCCAATCAGGCTCTATTTTTCATTTTCAAAGCTTAACTGAACAAACTGAAAAGAGAAGCTGATTGGATGCCATGGACAACTGCTCCAGGATCTGTCTGCTCCAGTTTTGATATATTCCCCTGTAATTGTTTTGCAAGACTAGTTGATCTTGTTTTTAAAAGACACACAAAAAGCTAATAAGCTGTCTGCATATTTTTTTGGAGAGACATTCAGTTTTTGCTGCTCACTGAAGAGGTTTGTGGATCTCCACTGTAAAAGCATCCTCTTGGCTGCTTCTTCTGTTGAATTACAGACTTTATGCAATTCATTAGAATATCCTATTACAACTCGGCA